GAAATCAGGGATATCCAAATAGGAAAAGAGAAAATTAAGTTATTCCTCTATACTGATGATATGATCCTATACCTCAAAAATCTAAAAGAATTTGTCAAAAATCTCCTTGCACTGATAAAGGACTTTAGCAAAGTCTTGGGGTACAAAATAAATGTTCAAAAGACAGTCACATTCTTATATACCAACAATAAAAAGGCAGAGAACCAAATAAAAAGCCCAATTCCATTTACAATAGCCACACACATATACAAAAAATGAAATACCTAGGCATCTTCCTAACCAGAGAAGTGAAAAACCATTACTGTTAGGAGCGGATGTGATATGGGGAGCAGATGAGCGCTGTCACTGTAGCAGGCCTTGAGTAAAGGCCTAAGCGAAGGCAAGGTCTCACTTAATGGCCCCAAGCTTGTAGGCAGTCTCTCTTGGAAGCTCTGCATCCTAGCCAAAGGAAGGCTGTAAAGTATGTAGCCTGCTACATAAAGTGGTGTCTCAGGTGCCCACACATCCAGGTACACATAGTATAAATAAAGTCTTGGCCACAACAAGATAACTGCAAAACAACTTGCCTTTAGGTGGCAACAAATTTCGTTATGGCTCCCTCACAGACCTTGAATCCCTTCCAACTTTCTTTGTGCTTAATTATTAAATAAATATGCTGAGCTAGTTCAGGGTTACTTCTCCTCCATCGGAGGAAAGTGTCCCACCTGGCCCCAGCTTTTCTTTATGTCTTTGTGTTTTTCTTAATCTCTCGCCACTCTCTCTCAAGACTCTCAAGGCAGCCATGCACCTAAAAATAAAGGTAGGTAAGGAGTTGATTTAGTTTCAACTGGGTGTAAGTATGGGTAACTGTGACACCCAAGAGAGAAGTCCGTATGTCCAAGTGTTAAAATCTAAGCTTCCAGCAAGAGGCTATCCAGTTAAAGGTTCTCAGTTAAAGGAATTTTAAGCTTTGTGCAGGAAACATGCCCTTGGTTCCCTGCTCAAGGGATAGTTAATTTGGATACTTGGAATAAGGTTGTTAAACAGCTTAGGGAGCATTATACAGCAGAAGGCCCTGTTAGGTTTCCATCCCTACGTTCGCACTATGGCCATTGATCTGAGATTGCCTTGCGTTTAAAGAGTTTTGCACTAATATTGGTTGGTTTAAATGTAGTATTCAGACTAAGTTGTACAGCTCTAGGGACCAGCAGGGTAGCTCATGGTATGATTTAAAGCCATATATCTATATCTATATCTGCACATACACATTCATAATCTTATTTAGTATGCAGCATACATTTTTGTTTTCCAAAAAAAAAATGGTTTGTATTCTTGTTGGCACAACTTTTATTATCCCAGCCATTAAGTCATTAGTTGATCAGAAACTTTAGAATAACCTCTGTGGCTATGCACAGGTCTAGTTTTTTAATGTAAAATTTTTACTTCTTATAGCAACTATATGAGATGGGTAGTAAATATCTTTTTATAGATGAGAACACTAGAACACTAAAACATACAAAAATAATGCTATATGCAAGGTCAAGCAATTATCAGTTAATTTACACAATAAGATTTGAACACAAACATGTCTATTGCAAAGTTGTTTGTTTGCATCACTGAATCTCCCTTCAGCACTTTAGTTTTGTAGAATTTTGATTTTTAATTTTCTATCTTTTTCTATCTTTCATTTCTCCAAATACCCTGAAAAAGAAAAAAAGAACTTATCTCAGGACAATCATGGACTTCTGTGCTTTCTTCTTATATGCACAATTTCACCATGTGTTTCTCTTCAAAAAAAGAGAGAAACCAATTCATAAATAAGAGAAAAGTCATTAGACAATAAATTTAGAACTTCTTGCAGTCCCTTAGGTGCTGTGCTCAAGGGAGAAAATGGTGTCTTTGTTCATCATCTGTCCCTTTGTATCATATAAATCAATAAACACATATAAATGAATACTGTCTTGTGATATACTGTTATTCTCTCTCTCAAAATACGTATGTACCTATATCTCATTCTTCTCTTTTTCACTCTTGACTATCTCAGTCAATTCCTGTCTGAGTCAATGCACAGATATGCCTATATTTTTGTGATAGAATATTCAGAAAGAAGGAATATTGTATGTGGCAAAAGTTTTCAAAAAGGGTATGTATTTATATTTTTTAATTGAACACACGCCTATATGTAATTCCTTGAGTTGAAACACATGAAACATTTTTAATAAGCTCTTAAGCATTTCAATGGTGGAGTGATGTTTTAAAGATCTTGGTGGAGAAATAACATCATAACATGATATGGTATTAAATCTTAACATGATGTGGTATAAATAAGATTATAGAATAAGAAATATCTTCCAAAAACTTAGACATTCACTGTATAATCAAGTGATTTCTCCAGAATTTTTCACTCATTTATTTTTCCCATGAACACTGTTTTGCACCAACTGTGTAAACCACAAGCATATATGTGCTGTATACTAAGGCTTCAAAATAATGAATCAAAATTCTTTCCTCAACGTGTCACTAGCCACAATAAGATAGACCAAAATGTTGAATTATTATGCTTGTCATGAATGGAATATTGTAGATAAATTATTGGATTAAGAAAGATGTGTAACAATACCACCTGAAGAGAAGAAAGCCATCTTTGAAACAGTACTCCTTACTCAAAGGAATGTAGATATAGGAATGTGTAATCTTTTTTTTAAGTTAAAGTAAAACCTTTTATTTTTCTTATTCTTAATTGCTCTAAAAGATAATAGTTTATTCAAAGTAATAATACTGACAATGTGTCCGTAGAGTCATTTATGGATAAGTGGAAAAAATGACAATATTATAAGAACTGGGAGTGGGAACTGTGAATACTCTGCTATAAGGTACTTATACTACTCATGAAGTGTATAGTGCTGGGGGTACATAACATCAATAAGGGTTCCCAAACTTTACCTGTACGGTGACAACTTGTGTACCTAATCTGAATTGTACACCCATATCTTTAAAATAATAATAATAAAAATAAATTGGACAGGGTTAGTAATAAATGTATATTGCAAATTTTGGGACAGCCACAAAACAAAAACTAACAAAACACCCCTCCATATATACCATAAGCCAGAGCATTAGGAAAACTATATGATGACACTAGAATTCATTTATTAAGAAGAGTTTGATCAGAATGTGTAGTCTTTCTTCTCGCTATAGACTTTATCCTGACATGCTTCAGGCTGGGAACAAGGGGATGCAAGGAACTTAACAAAAGTTGACAGGAATTAGGGGAGCTGAATGTCATAGTGCCAATGAGACTTCTGATACTGTTGAAATTCAAAATATTGTAATAGAAACAAATATAATGCTTTATGTTCTCCAGCATTAATCCACTGTCCTAGTATCAAATCAGAAGCTGTATATTGTATATTGCTGTTATGTTATTTTGTAACATGAATAATAAATGGGAAAAGAAATGAAGCTTCTTGAAATCTTGCATATAAGAAGAAGGCTTGGAAACCCATGACAGTTCTGAGATAAATTCATTTTCACATCCTTTAAGACATTGTTCCCACCTACACTGCTTTCTGTGTGTGTGTACGTTTTGAAGTAGATGTTTTCCTTTCTTATATATATAATACATCTGGTGCAATACAGTCATTTGAAGGTATTGAAGTAAAGAATCCTGTTAAACAAACATGGAACATTTCTATGTTATAAATGTGGGAAAATACCCTGAGACTTTATTCAAATAAATATATACAAGATAAGTTTTATGGAGAAGTTATTTCAAGAATTATATTCACTAGGATGCTAGTTGCAAAAATTAAAATAGAAAAGATAAAATAGAAGTCCTAGATAACTCATGAAACATTATGAGATAATGGTGATGCTTGGACTAAAAATCACAAGTCTCTGCCCACTTCTACAACATACCGTTTGCTTGATTGTCATATGGCCTGCTCAAGGCCATAATAGCAAGCTAGATTTAAAATAACAAAAACTCAAGATTTCAAAAGACTGAAAAAGAATCAGATGTCAAAGTGAATGTCTGGAAGATATTGTGAATCATGAATTCAGATTCAGTCAGAAAAAATTGTTCGGTCCTGAATAGGTTGTGCACAGCACCAGGAACATAGAAGTTGTTTAATAAATGTTTTCTAAAGGAAAGTAGGGATTGTGTGAATGGATGGGTGTTTGCTTACTTATTGATTGTTATGAAAACAAGTTTTATATCTTGATATTTTTATAATAAAATAGAAGGTATAGATTAGATCAGTGCAGAAGTAAGCATTTAGAGAATATAGTCAGGCGCTTAAAGAATCAAGACATTCTATAAAGAATTTTGATAGGTATGGAAGAATACTTCTAACTCCTAGAGAAAGCTGCACTCCTGAGCTGCTGTGAGGAAGGTCCCTGAGAAGACAGTCCACAAGCAGTGGGCTCACGATGGCTTAATGCACCAGCTACACCAAATGACAGTAGAGACCAGAGAAGCAGTAGTCACCCATAGGAACAGAAACAGCCTTGGGATTATCCGCGACCAATATTCATTCTTAGAAAAAGAAAGAAAACTGACATGAAGATATCTGCCATCATGTTTAAGAATATCAGATTAGGAGGAAAATACTTATTAAAGGCAAATATCTCTCCTAAATCAGAGCAAACAGCACCATTGCTTAAATAACAAATAATCTTACATATAAATTCAATATTAATTATATGATTATTGTAAACAAAGGAAAAAAAATTAACCCAATTTTAAAATAGTGATCATTCACAGAATTTTCACTTTCATTTGGGGTGAAAAACATTCTTTCTTGAAAGGAGTTAAGATTGATACATCAGCATGTCTACATGAATATACAAGCAGAATATCATAAATACAAGATGCAATTGGCAAGCATCCAAATAATCCAGTTTGGATGGTGCTAAATTACACACAGAGACACACAGAGAGAAACATTCTTGTGAATGACAGACTTGGCATTTCCAGTTTTCTCAATTTAATATTTGTTTCTTCTAGATTCAATGGGAACATGGAAAAGAGAAATCTAACAGCCATCAGGGAGTTTGTCCTTCTGGGACTGCCTGATTTGGCAGAGCAGCAGCACCTCCTGTCTGTGCTCTTTCTTTGTATGTACTTTGTCACCGTGCTGGGGAACATGCTCATTATCTTGACAGTTTGCTCTGACTCGCGCCTCCACTGCCCTATGTATTTCTTCCTTAGCAACTTGGCCTTTGTTGACATCTGTTTTACTTCCACTACCATCCCCCAAATGGTGGTGAACACCTTGACTGACACACAGACTATCCCTTTTGCAGGCTGCCTCACTCAGCTCTTTTTCTTCATTTCCTTTGTAAATATGGAGAGCCTCCTTCTCTGTGTCATGGCATATGATAGGTATGCAGCGATTTGCCACCCTTTACATTATGCCACCATAATGAATACTCGCCTTTGTGTCCAGCTAGTGGCCGGGCTCTGGCTTGTCACCTACCTCCATGCCCTTCTACATACTGTTCTGATATTACATCTATCCTTCTGTGCCTCCAATATCATCCATCACTTCTTCTGTGATCTCAACCCTCTCCTGCAGCTTTCTTGCTCTGACATCTCCTTCAACGTCATAGTCATGTTTATAGTAGGAGGTCTACTGGCTCTCACACCCCTTATCTGCATCCTCATATCTTATGGATTCATCTTTTCCACCATTCTGAAGATCACTTCTACTCAGGGGAGACAGAGAGCTCTCTCCACCTGTGGCTGTCACCTGACAGTGGTGGTGCTGTTTTATGGCACAGCGATTGCTGTCTACTTCAGCCCCTCCTCCTCTCACATTCCTGAGAGTGATGCACTGTCAGCCATCATGTATTCAGTAGTGACTCCAATGCTGAATCCATTCATCTACAGTCTAAGGAACCGGAATATGACGAGAGCACTTCAGAAAATGTTTTGTAAGCGTATTTCAGAAGTGATAACAACCCCAATGACTGAATATAAGAAAAAGCATATTTCTAGGCAGCCATAATAACAGTAATAAGAGAGAATAATTGTTATTTAATGTCTCTCTTATGCTGGACACTGTGTTAAGTACGTTATAGAGATTATCACACTTAAATCTCTGAGTAAATATATAAAATTATGAAATCCAAGTTTTTATAAGAAACATGAATCTTAGAAAAGATGAGTAGTGTGTATAAAGCCCGCAGCTGGTAAGTAAATCGTTTTTTACTCCAGTATAAATATGCCTTAGTGATGTCTTTGTGATAATGTTCTCAAATGCTGCATATTAAGAAAATTTTTTCTAAACTTAATATCTATGAGTCCAGGTTTAAAATTAAAGGGACATAAACTTTAAGGTTAGCTTTACAATGTGGTGGAAAAGCAAGTCTCTCAATTTCTAATAATGTGTTATCTTAAAAATTACTCTGATAATTTATTCAGGGTTTAAAAAACATATGCTTTCTTCCAGTCCCCTCTCACTTCAAACACAAATAATGATTATATTCTATTGACTCATGTCATAATCATACGTGTTCCTAATTGATCTCTGGCATAGAGGAGCATAACCCTCCAATCAGAATCTTTTGCTCAGCCACCTTTAAAAGACACAGGCTAGTTGATCTCCTCCAAACTTGGAATCATCTGAACATACACCATTTTTAAAGATGAAATCAGGTCTCAATTGCATTTTTGATATGGGAATATCAATGAACTCTTATCTTCAAAACCCTGGATGTTGTTTCATCCTGCTTTCCTAACAGAAAATTAATGCATAATATGCAAAAGATTATTATATTTGGGGTTATTCAATTTTAAAAACTCCATGTAAAATATTGACTATTCAGTCCAACCTGGTTGTATATTCAACCTGTTCCAGTTTCTTTCTACAGTTTCACATCCGAGAATGAGTTAAGATCATGCCTACCTGTCTTTTCTTAGCTTAAAATACCTGATTTTGGAGCTCTATAAATAATATCTTGAGTGAACACGTGTGCAATACTTTTAAAATCTTATAAACACACATACACACCCCCTTAAAGAAGAATAAATGCATATAGATATAAGAAAATTTAAATCCATTCAGGGAAAATTTTCTTCAAAAAAAAAGCAACAATATTGGCAAAGATGTTTTAGCTCTTCTAACACATCCACCTAATTTGTAATACCAATTAAAGAATTCAGGTTCTCATAATATAAATAAATAAAAGCATTGGGGAGAGGATTTGTAACTTGTAATTTTACCCAATAAAAATATATATTTGCTTCAAAAGTCTGTAGATAAAATATTATATATGGCAAAGGTTAATTCAGTTCCCCACCAGAGACTTAAGTGTAAAAAACAGCTTCAGATAACAAATTTAGGTACAGGATAAAGCTAGGATTTGGCAATTATATATGTTAGGCTTTCAAATATCATGCAGGTCATTCCTGGATTGGGCTGTCACAAAATATATGTTAACAATGGTTCTTTTATCTAGTAAGGGATAATATTACACCCTTTATTCTTGTCATCCTTTCTTTCTTACATGAATTAGTCTACTTCTCTACATTAGTCGTATCTTCTTTTACAGTTTTAAATTCTTAAAATATTTTTTACAGAGTAATGGTAAGGCTCAAATCATGTAGTTGCCTCCCAGAACAAAAATAGTGATATAAGCCTAATCATTTGATTCCTGTATTCTCTAAACATCTAAACAGTCAGCCAAATTGTAACAGGGGAAAGTTTTTTTGGTTTTGATTTTTGTTTTTTTGTTTTGTTTTGTTTTTTTGGGGGGGGGAGGTTTGAGTTGGAGTCTCACTCTGTCACCCAGACTGGAGTGCAGTGGCCGCTCCCGGCCACCGCAGCCTCGACCTGCTGGGCTCCGGCGATCCTTCTACCTCAGCCTTCCGAGTAGCCGGAATTACAGGTGTGCGCTACCACGCCCGGCTGATTTTTTGATTTATTGTAGAGATGAGGTCGCCGCTCAGGTGGGTCTCAAACCCGCGGGCTCAGGCAATCCACTCACCTCAGCCTTCCAAAGGCGCGGGATTACAGGCTGAGCCACCGAACCCGGCTCAGGGAAAAGTTAATGTCCTCCTCTCAAAAATATTTTGCAAAGTCTCACCTGCCTAGTGTTGATGAACTTCAGCAAAAACATGAAGCAAATGAAAGCACATAGGATCTCAGATTCCACCTTTCGTTTACAGAAAAATAAAGAATGCTGTTTCTAAAATATTCTGCCTTCAGCCTAACTTACAGGATTTTTAAAATTTAAGTAGAAAGAAAGAGAAAAAGATAGAGAGACATGCATTATTAAGGAAGGAAGAAATGATAGTGAGTGTGGGTTGTTCGTACATCAGTCTCCACCACACACTGCTGTATTCCCTCTCAAACCAGATAAATTATTGGAGAGGTAAATTGACACAACTTGTTCTTCAGTAGCATGAACTTGAGATTTCATAATACATTTGGTATGCTTCAAAAGTGCCACAGAACACAAAATTCTAATTTTCCACTAACACAGTAAATTAGTAAATTGGAATAAATTGGATTGACAAGAATATGAAATTTAACCAGTATCATGTTACTGCTAGTTCAAGGGATATAGATTACTGTAAGACACCAGCAAAGCTGAGTATTTGAGACCCCTGATGCAACTCCCAAGGCTTCCCTTAGGACATTAATGTGCACCATGATCCAGATTTAACATATGAGATCTCCAAATTGTATCTGAGAGTCGTTACCTTACACAAGGGAATATATATGACTGAGGAAAGTCTCCATTTTATATTATAATAATTTTATATCTGTCATTGATGTTTCAGCAGGCCATATTTATATAACCATTAATTTTAAGTTTGTTACCATAAGCAACCTGGAGAATTCAGATATATTATTCTAAACACATTTTCTAAACAAGACTTTTACTTATCTTTCCAGTAGAAATAGCCAACAGATTTTCCAACTTGAGATGCTTAAGAGAAAATGTGCTAGCGTGGCAGCTAATAACCATAGTATGTTTCTGCAGGAGGCCAGCTCCAGGGGGTTTACGGGGACCCGAGAAGGAGGCATGATGAGGCGAGGGAAGAAAGAGTTGTGACCAGAGTTTCTTTTCAGGCACTCTGGCAATCAAACACACCAGGTTGCGTTTATTTATAGTAAATTATAAATTAATCATTTTTTTGTGGTTATACAATCACAAGATGATTTCATTATTTTATCACAGACACTCTATGTTCTCATGTCTTACAAGATTTATTATAAAGTTAATGATTAATACAACTTGCCCATAAACCCAAAACCGGTTTTTGTGGTTATTACTACCACCACCTGCTGGACTATTAACCTTATAAATTTAACATCCTATTTCATGAAAATATATAATTTTCTATAAGGAAAATAAAAATTAAAAAAGGACAATCAGCTATTAAAGCAATAACCTGTGGATTCACACAAAACTTACTTTATCTATTCTAAATATTCCTAACATTTTTATAATTAAACAATAGCAAAAAATCATTATTACTAATTATATCAAACTTAACCCATTATATCTAATCTCGCAATCTTCTGTTGTATAATAGCTACATTTAATTTTCTTATACCATTAGTTTACTTTGTAGCAGATTTTTATTTTCTATGCCTTTAGAATTAAACACCATGGTGGGCTACTATGTTTAATTCTTTCCCACAGAGACAGAGAGTTTCATTTAACATATCTGCCATCTACCCAAGCCCATCTAACCATGTCTTCATCATAAGCTCCGGTGTAAGGTAGAGGAGGGTCTAACCATGATAAATCTTGCATGCTGCTTCTACCCCTAGGGACCCACCAAACTCTATTATTAATATTATATCCCACATGTTGTCCTGCTCCAATAGTAGATAAAGGCTTAAGAGCTTTATTTTGGGGGTGGGTTCTGGTTTTATGACTAATCTGATGTTTAACTATACCTATGTTATCTGTAACAGTTTTTACCTCAGTTTCTGTTAATTCCTTATGCCACAACTTTAATAAAAAATCTCTAAGTGTTTCATTTGCCATGCAGTTAAAGGTACATTTTGTTGCAGTGGATGTTACAATAATTGATTCTATTGACGGTTAGGTCATCATGACCTCTCCTATTCTTGATTTCCTGAGGTGTAGCCGATGTTGAAACATTGACTGCTTTATTACTGGCATTGTAGACACTGTACCCTCCAATTCTGGTTACATTATTCTTTTCCGAGGGAGATTGAAATATATTATTCCTGCAAGGCAGGAGTATAACAATATAATGAGAATAACCAGGCGACCATGAGTCACAGGGCAGCCATGCAGAACTTCCTCAAGACTTTCCGTGGGGCCTTGCCAAGCACGCAGATCCCCTCTGGGGTTTTGCCTTCCAGGAGGGGTGTCTTCAATCAGTTCCCATGCTGAGCCCCAGATTGTCATGGCCTCCGCCATGTTTCTTTTTTTTCTTTTCTTTTTTTTTGAGTTGGAGTCTCACTCTGTCACCCAGACTGGAGTGTGGTGGCCACTCCCGGTCACCTCAGCCTCGATCTGCTGGGCTCCGGCGATTCTTCTGCCTCAGCCTTCCGAGTAGCCGGCATTACAGGCGCGCGCTACCACGCTCGGCTGATTTTTTTGATTTATTGTAGAGATGAGGTCTCGCCTGCCCAGGCGGGTCTCGAACCCCCGGGCTCAGGCAATCCACTCACCTCAGCCCCCCAAAAGGCGCAGGATTACAGGCTGAGCCACCAAGCCCAGCTCACAGTATGTTTCTTATAGTGAAACATAGCACTCAAAAGACAATGGTGATAGAAAACTTAAATACTAATGTATCCTAAGTGAAGTTCTTTGAACTAGAAGAATATCATTTCACACATAATTTATACAAATCAACAGTTATCTATTGCTTTCTGGTTTCTTGGACTTTGTTTAATCAACAACTTTTATTGGACCCATCTATTCTTTTCATATAAAGTAGCATACTGTAGTTGTATTTACAGTTTCTAGGGATTAGGTGTGGACATTTCTGGTGGCCATTATTCCAACTAGTAGA